CGAGCACCAGAAACGCGGGGTAGACACCCCCCTCCGCGTGAGCCTCCCCATTGTACAGTAGACTCTCCAGCCTGGTGGAGGGGAGGACGGGAGAGGGAGAGAGGAGGGAGAGAGGAGGGAGAGAGGAGGGAGAGAGGAGGGAGAGAGGAGGGAGAGAGGAGGGAGAGAGGAGGGAGAGAGGAGGGAGAGAGGAGGGAGAGAGGAGGGAGAGAGGAGGGAGAGAGGAGGGAGAGAGGAGGGAGAGAGGAGGGAGAGAGGAGGGAGAGAGGAGGGAGAGAGGAGGGAGAGAGGAGGGAGAGAGGAGGGAGAGAGGAGGGAGAGAGGGTGGTCAGAAGGAAGCACGGGGCAACAGCAGGGCGAGGAGTGATGAGTCGATATTTAAGTCGACTTTAAAATCGACTCATCACACACGGGGCAACAGCAGGGCGAGGACGCTCACCTGCACAAGAGGAATGCCTGAGTCACCACGATGACCCCCACCACCCGCTGCAACTTCTGGAACAAAGCAGCTCCCGGGGCGAGAAGGGCGAGCAGCAGTGCGAGCAGCAGCTGCTGGCACAGGGCCTTGAGGGTCATGCCTGCCTATTGATAACTCAAAGACATGTGGTGCATTTCACTCACCTGCAGAAGAGGAAAGCTTGCGCCACCACGATGACCCCCACCACTCGCTGTGACTTCTGGAACAGGGCAGCTCCCGGGGCGAGCAGGGCGAGAAGCAGCGCGAGCAGCAGCTGCTGGCACAGGGCCTTGAGGGTCATGCCTGGCTGCGACGACTAGAATGAGGGCCAAGGGGACGGCTTGAGCTCACCTGCAGAAGAGGAATGCCTGAGCCACCACGATGACCCCCACGACCCGCTGGCTCTTTTGGAAGAGCGCGGCGCCTGGTACAAGGAGAGCGAGCAGCAGGGCGAGGAGCATCTCCTGGCAGAGGGCCTTGAGGGTCATGCCTGCGAAGACTATAGCGAGGGCGAAGTACTGGTCCATAACGATCCACGCTGCTGCTAGTAACGAGGCTGCTGCAAAGATGAAGTAGGAGGTGATGCTGCCCGTGGTGTAGTAATGGGCGAGGTACGCTGCTGCTATGGCTGGGGCGGGGAGCACCTGGGAGGGACGAAAGTAGAAAGAGAGTCAGAAGAGAGAGTGGCAGAACAGAGGGGGAGAGGGGAACAAGGGAGAGAAAGCGTGTGAGCGAGCTGCAAAGATGAAGTAGGAGGTGATGCTGCCCATGGTGTAGTAATGGGCGAGGTACGCTGCTGCTATGGCTGGGGCGGGGAGCACCTGGGAGGAACGAAAGTAGAAAGAGAGTCAGAAGAGAGAGTGGCAGAACAGAGGGGGAGAGGGGAACAAGGGAGAGATAGCGTGTGAGTGTGCTGCAAAGATGAAGTAGGAGGTGATGCTGCCCGTGGTGTAGTAATGGGCGAGGTACGCTGCTGCTATGCCTGGGGCGGGGAGCACCTGAGATGGGAAGAATGGCAACGATAAAGGAGACCACTGCTTTCCTCTGGAGACCACTGCTTTCCTCTCTCCCACTCCCCAGTTCCCCCCCTCTCAAAGGGCTTACCATGTCCCTTCTCCCCCCCACTCAGAGCCTTACCGTGACAGGCATGCCAATGACCAGCGATCCCGCCACAGCAGACGGGCTTACAGTTTCCCCTCTCCCCTTCTATCCCTCTCCCCTTCTATCCCTCTCCCCCCCTCCCCCTCCCCCCCCACTCAGACACTTACCGTGACAGGCATGCCAATGACCAGCGATCCCGCCACTGCAGACACCAGCAGCACGGTGGTCACCACTGCGGACCCCACTGCACCCCTCAGCACGCCCATCATGTGCGCGGCGAAGCCGAATCCGAGGCCAAAGAGCGCGAGCGTGACGAGGAGGTAGTTGAGGGGCGGCGGGAAGTGGATGTAGTGGCCGTAGGAGGTGAAGATGACGCGAATCTCGAAGCAGATGAGCACGACCGCCAGGGAGAACCCCCCGTTGAGAATTTGCACCTGTTGGGAAGGGGGTAGGGGGGATTATGGGAAGATGGGGAAGTAGGAGGAGGGCAATCGGCGGGAAGTGGATGTAGTGGCCGTAGGAGGTGAAGATGACGCGGATCTCGAAACAGATGAGCATGGCCGCCAGGGAGAACCCCCCGTTGAGAATTTGCACCTGTCAGGGCGGGGGTTGGGGAGGGCCGGGATGCGGAGGTTGCGGAGGGTGGGGAGGGGGTTGGGGGACAGTGGGAAGTGGGAAGTGGACGGGGTGAAGTGGGAGGCGGGAAGTGAAATGGGGGGAATGGGCGAAGCGAAGAGGGAGGCAGGCAGCAAGTGGAACGGGGGAAGTGGGTGGAAGTTTCTGAGGGGCGCAAAAACACCCTCTCTACACCTGAGGGGCAGAGGGAAGTGGATGTCGTGGGCGGAGAAGGTGAGCCACGTGTAGAGAGAATTCTCAAAAAGCATACACGTGTAGTATCACCAGCATCAAAGTCCTCGTTATTAGGTGCTTCAATAACAATTCCGTTTAGCCGATTGAGCTTGACCTTGTCACTGGTAAGCCAATTCAACGGGCCCCTCGTCAACGCGTACAGCACGAAGAGCACGGGCACGAAGAAGAGCAGCTGCGCACCACATCCCCGTTATCAGGTGTCCTTATATCGAATCCACTCACCCGTTTGAGCTTGGCCTTGTCAGTCGTGAGCCAATTGAGCGCGCCCTTCTTCGACGCGTACAGCACGAAGAGCACGGGCACGAAGAAGAGCAGCAGCGTGTCGCATGCTTCATTAGCTGATTCGAAGATCCGATTATGATGCACCGCCAGGTGAAAACCGCACGGCAGGAACAGCACGAGCATCATGTGAAACAACCCCTCCATCGCCCCAATAATCCACACATCCTGGGAGGATTCTTTGCCTCCGTGCCTCGCCTGCTGCTGCTGCTGCTGTAGCGTGTGCTTGGAGGATTTGAAGGAGGAGGCGCGCGGGAGGGAGAAGAGCCAGTAGAGCGCGAACAGGCACGGCATGAGGTAGAACGGCGCGTGGGCCGCGCCGATGGCGGCGATGAGCCCGTATGTGATTATAGCGATGGCTGTCATCGGCGTGCATGCGAACAGGAGTCGCTCTAACGCGAGGACTACAAACGGGTGCTCGAGCTGCAGCCAGCGGAATTGCAGCGAGACCCAGACGCCGCAGAGGAACACAAGGTGCATCGCCGTGAGGAGGATCAGCACGGAGATTATAACGGGGATGTGCGGCGCGAAGCCGAGGCCGGAGAACGCGAGCGCGGCTGCCGTGGTGAAGAAGGTGCACCAGATGGCGACAAAAGCGCCGTTTTTGAACTGGAGCGCGTCGAGGATGTAGGAGATCATGAGCCCCGCGACGAGTGTGCCTACAACGAGCGGCCCGCCGGCGCCTAGAAGCACGAGCACGCACGGCAGCAGCGCCGTGGCGACGCGCGCGTTGTACTGGAAGCCGTGAGATGCGGCGAACCGCGCGTCCCCGGAAGAGGGGGTGGCGGGCGCGGAACCGGAAGGCATGGGGATCGGCCGGCGCGGAAGTTGCCCCCCCATAGCGGGGGAAGTGTAGGGAGATGCATAGGGGGAAGTGTACGGGGTGTGATACCCCGGTGACCCTTGCGCGTACATGATGGTAACGCCTTGCAAGGGTATGAGAGATTCTGAAGGAAATGAGATATTCTCAGAGGAGTGACAGAATTTCTAAACGGCGAAGCACCTGGCCGAGATTATGACAAATGCTGCCGAACTAAGCGTGAATGTAACGAATCTATGTCAGATATAGACAGATGACGAGGCTGATGCGTCAGATACAGACGCACGATCTGGCTTATAAGACTCCTGAATCGTTCTTAATTGTCTGCATGGAAAAGGAAAAAGAAGCAAAATTCTAGTGTCTGTAGAGCACAAGAATCAATGCGTGGGAAAAATGCTAGGAATCGCATCGTCATCGCGCTAAAGCCGTCGATCGGACGCGGCTGCTGGCATTTCGATCATCATGGACCCAGGTGCTTCCCTCACAAGATCGAACTCGTCTGCTTCAAAGACTGTCACGAACCATCCCACACTACTAGTGCGATGACCGAAAGGAAACACAAGATCGAACCCGTCTGCAGTCTAGAACCTGCTACTAAGCGCCACTAGTACGTTGCAGCAACGCTACGTTCTAGAATCTGACATCTGAGAATCCTGGTCAAATAGGAGAGACGCAGATCCCCTGCTCCTGATTTCCTGTTGGCCTTGAAATCATCCAATCCAACCTAGATTTCTCCCACGGCACAGACCGTGAACGCGAAGAACCGAGTTATGCATGCAAGGCGGTGGGAGTGCCGAGCTCCAGATCCAGCACAGACCCGTTTCAAAGCAAACTGCGAATCCTACGGCCTACGACACTTCGTTACCGAATCGGACGGTGAATATCACTGCCTTGTTGTGTTCTAAACTACGGTAAGGTGCGATTACAGATAACCACTTTCAAGGCTGCAGAGCAAAACAAATGCACTACTACAAAAATCATGGACCCTCAAGACAAGCCTGATAGGGTTTCCACAATTCCATGTCAACAACTGATGTCGGCAAAAGCCATACGCCATACATTGCCTGCCTCCACCCAGCCCCCATAAAGAAGCGCCAGGGAGGATCTCGTTTCAAAGAGGCCTCCACTGTAGCCTTAGCAAAATCATCTGCACTTGTCCCTATAAAGTTGGTCAAAGCCCACTCGGCGAGGTGGTTGAGCCTACTCTCGCACGACTTGTACAAACTGTTGGACGGCAATGGTTTCCTGTTGTGCTGCTCATTGCTGGGGTGAGTAGAGAGCAGGGCATGTGGGACATACAGTACGGCAAAAAAATGCAAGGGAAGAGTGCATGAGAAGGTTTATTTCGTGGTGACACAAGTTCCCATGCCATTGCTGATGCAACTAAGAGAACTTCACTGTCGCGAAAAAAAAGTACACCACACTGATATACCCCATCCATCCAAAGTTCATGACCTGCCCTCCCCGCATGCATCACCTGTGTATGTTGGTGTTGATGAATCCCGGAACTGCCAGCATGACACGCACTCCGAAGGGCTTCATCTCCATGCGCATGCAATTGGTCACCGCATTCAACGCTGCCTTGGACGCCGAATAGGCTGCTGCCATGGGCCTGAGATGGAGCATGTGGGAGGGGCGGGGAGGGGGGCGAGAAAACAGCTTCATATCCATGCGCATGCAGTTGGTCACCGCGTTCAACGCCGCCTTGGACGCTGAATAGGCTGCTGCCATGGGGCTGTGGCAAGCGCGGGAACCGGTGGGAGGGGAGGGAGCGGAGGAGGGGAGGGAGGGAGGAGGGGAGGGAGCGGAGGAGGGGAGGGAGTGGAGGAGGGGAGGAAGGTACGACAGGAAAAGTAAGAGTGTGGGGACGGTGGAGAACTATAGAACACTGTGGCATCTCACAGTTTCTAACCAATGCAGTGCAAGGCATGGCATGAAACCCCACTTTTTGTCCTCGCAAACAGATGGGGGCACTTAAACTATCATCGGCCTAGTCCATTATCTCCAAAACCAGACTCACAGGTGGCAGAAACCTGCGCAGCTGGAGACGCTTATAACGAGTCCCTGCTTCCTCTTGGCCATGTGCGGGAACACAGCCTGGGCCATCGCAACGACGCCGAGCAGGTTCGTCTCGAACAGCACGCGCCAATCGGAGAGCGGCGTGTCCGCCAGGGGGCGTGTGGCGAAGACAGCAGCATTGTTGACGAGCACGTCTATTCGCCCAGCCTCCTTCATGACTGTCTCAACTGCATGCTGTCAGGGGTCGGGATAGAGCAGAGAGAACAGATCCGTTTTCAAAGTGATTTTTTAGTCCGACTTCAAAAGAAATTCGCCCAGCTTCCTTTGTCTCAACCCCTCGCTGTCAGAAGTTGGGATAGCGCAGAGAAAGCGGAAGTTTTTTAGTCAGACTCAATAATAATATTTTTGCCCAGCTTCCATCATCGTTGTCTCAACTGCATGACCGTTACTGTGCTTTGTCTCCTGAATATCAGGCAGAATAAATGATTAAAAATAACCATCTGGCGCCCACAACGATGCTCTGGTTACCTGAATATCTTCCGCGTTTGTCACATCCAGCTTCAATACAGTCACTCCCTGCTCCTGTAACCCACGCATGGCCTCCAATCGGCGCGCAGTGGCGTACACCGTGGCCCCTCGGCGGGCGTACTCCCTGCAATTCATCACACCATTCAACAACCACGCATGGCTTTCATCAGACCTCACCGTTTCTGGCAATTGCCACAAATGTATGAATTACTATTACGAATTCGAACCAGGACAAATCAATGAGGCGCCTAAAAGAATCGTCGTGCACACCTACAGTACCGTGACGAGCCAACACCCCGCGCACGCTGGTTCAATTCACTGAATGGGTAATCGAAACCAGCTCCGGATTGATGCTTCAAAACCACAACTCGTGGATTGGCAACGGTGGCGACGAAAAAAATATTCACGCTTTAATTTCTGTCTTATTTTTCGCCGCGAGGACGTTGAAACGCGTCTTTGAGGCACAAATTACGGAAGCAGTTCCGAAACGCTGAGTGAAGGCTTACACTGCCAATGCGTAACCGATTCCGCCCTCGGAACACCCCGTTATAAGCACGACTTTCCCATCGGCTCTGATCGGCCGAGGCCGACCAAGAATCGCGCCCATGGCAGAGACTCAGCAGTCCGCTGAGCCGGCTGACACGACCGAGAATAAAGCCAGAGGAGCGGGGTTGGGTCGCAATGACTTTTCGAGAAAAAAGAAACTAACAACCACCATTGTCGTTCGCATCGCATCCTTCTGTGGGGTCTATGCCACAGATTGACTGGCGATTGTGGAAAGGGAAGTAAACAGAACCTCGGATCTCATCACGAAAGAACACTACAAGGCGCTTCCAGAGGATTCCAGCTGCCGCTCATCTTGGCAGCGCGATGAGATGACCTATTGCGGATCTCCACCTACTCTAGTTATTTTTTGTCAATGCTGCTGCAGATTCTACTCAATTCTGCACAGCTGTATTCACTGCTTATACAGCTGTATAAGCAATCTGCGCTTCCCCTGCGCTCTGTACAGATTTACTGTACACAGTTTGTAACCGTCCTCTCAAATTTCGCAGGACCGAAGCGAACCCAAACGAAACATTCAAGAAGACAAGCACCGTTCTGGCACGCTAAAAAACACACCCCACCGCATCAGAAACTCTCGTCTACTGTCTGCGAATAGAAACTCTCGAACACCATCGAAAAACTACAGAGCTCTAAACACCACGCCCCACCGCATCGAAAAGCTCTCGAATCTCGCTCTCTGTACGAGCAATCACCTGAACAACATTCATGCAGGATCACGCACGGATGCAGAGCAGAACCTCGCACTCATGCGAATTTGCACGTGGATTGCAGATATGGTGGGGTGAGGCGAGATACTCGGTAGGAGATTTGGCGTTAGGAAGGTCTTCCGTTTGGATGTGCTGTATAGAAAGTTATAATGTATTACGGTATTACAAAACTGGAAACTCGGCCGTCCCCTTCCCTTCCCCCGCACAACCCCACCCCCCCAACCCCCCCCCCTCCCCCCCTCCCCGCCACCTCCCCCACCCTAGCCTGATCGACGAAACCTTCAAATCCAAAACCGTGTTACACCTCGCCTGATCGACGAAACCTTATTGACGCGGCCATTATCTCCGATACTCAGATTTTGCCTGAGCGCGTTCTCGGGTGTAATCACCAACAGAAACATAGTTCCTCGATATAGTGTGAAGCTATTCTCGCTCATGTTTGTATACAGTCACTCAAAAAAAAGGAATTCTAGCACTTGCAAATAAAATATATATAATGCCCGTAGCGAACCTATATGATTTCCGGGAAGGATCAACCCTAAATACCGAAAGCCTCCCAATATTTTGGAAAACATATTGCAACCCACTTGACAAAAAAAAAATATCCACCTTGGAAAGGGATGCGACTCGAGAGGCATCAACCCTAAAAACAATGCCCATTCCCGTGTTTAGGGTTGACCCCTCTCGAAAATGCATCCAGGTTCCCTATGGGTTTTATTTTTTTCTGCCATGCCCGAATAGGTCTCGGTAGCATCGTCTAGTGCTTTCGGTAGCGTTGTTTAGCGGTCGGCTGCGCTACTGAGCACTACCAAGTGAATTATATGGGCTTCATTCTCTTACTACCTTTATTTCCGTACATATATCCAAGTCGGGAGGGTAAACTAGATGGTTTTGTTTTTGTCACTTCATAATGAGTTCGACCAGCGTGAGAAATGTGACTAAAAAGCGACGACCAATCAACGTTGAGAAAGTCCAGGTTGATTACACCTGAGAACGCGCTCAGGAAAAATCTGATTATCGGAGATAATGGCCGTTATTGACGCCTTTCGCAAGTTTCGGACCAACAGGCGGCGAGCAGAGCTCGTTGCGTCCCCGCCGTCAATCCCCATAAACTCTGTTGTCTGGTCGCTTCGCTTGTCAGAGCACGCCAGACTGTAGCACACCGGAGTGTGTGAGAGTGGGAACGCTATTTGATGATGTTCACAACACGCAGCTGGTCATTCCCCTTCAAGTGATCAGAAGTTTCTTTCCGTGCAGCGGTAGCCGGATTCCAGAATAATCTCAAATTAGACGACAGCACGGGCTAGTACCGTCCGAACTTGATTTGTGTGTTTTTCCCGCCTTTTTTCTGCTCGATGTCCGCTCGTATCTAGTGTCACAGCGGGTTCACCGCCGTTGCTGCGGGAGCAGGTATGATGCGCACCCGCAATGATGATGGCGCTGACGGGTGGCGCGGGGAAAGTGTGGCGATGGCCGGAACGGATAGCGAAACGGGCGGTGCTGGTAACAGGGGTTTCGTCAGGAATGTGGCGAAACAAGACCCACGATTGCTCCTAGAAAGGCTTGACACGCCCACATTGGTACGCTTTTTTAGGCATCAACAGTGCTATCGGCTTAGTAAGTACGAGTTTTTTAGGTTCCTGCTAAGCGGCTTTGGAAGTATTCACAGCATCTATAACATTTCACACTTTCCCTTGTCTCCCCCCTCCGCCCGACCAATCAGGTGGCTCCAGAACTCGAACTCGGCCCTAAGAACCGCATAGGCGCGTACCTGAAAATACTCGATAAGCTATCCGACGCGCTGCGGTTCTTCGAAGCGCATAATTATCTGGGCAGTTGCCGATTGGAGCTGCGGCAGGGAAGGGCGCTGATGGACGTTGCTGTGGCGCGACTGGGAGAGGAGTTTGGGGAGGTGCTGTGCGGTGGAAGGTGGGTTAGGGGGGGGGGAGGGGGGGGGGGAGGGGGGGGGTCTAGCGGTGCAATGTGTGCTGGGGGAGGTGCAGTGGAGTGCAAGGTGCGCTGGAGGAGGTGCAATGCGGTGCAGGATGGTCCGAGGGAGAGGAGACGGCTCTGCTTCTTTTGTTGAGTCTCTTCGAAACGCCTCCACCCCCGCCCCACCCGCCTCTCCACACCCGCCTCTCCAACCTACCCACAGCATAACACCGGACCGAGGGTCATTACTCAAAGCAGCCACAGGCAAGATGTGTTTTGAGTCTCTCAAAATGCGCCCCACCTCCCTCCCCACCCGTCTCTCCACCCCACCCGCCTCTTCCCACGCGCCTTTCCACCCAAGCCACAGCATAACACCAGACCGAGGGTCATTGCTCCAATCAGCCGCAGGCAAGATGTCGGGTGAGGTTGTGACGCCCGCACCTCCGCTAAGGCCCGAGGCTGTGACGCAGCTTCGGCCCATGGCTGCTTGGATGCTGAGCAATGGATACGAGTCTTCGTGCCTCTCGGTGTACGAGTAAGGTTCGATTGCCTTTCACCGTATGATAGAGATTTTATTGCCCCATCGCTGTAGAACGAGTAAAATCCGATTCCCTTTCACTGTACGAGTTAGATTCGATTGCTCTTAATTCTGCCAGTAAGTGTTCGATTTCTTGTCAGTGTTATCAAAATGATTCAATTGGATCACCTCTCCCTCTCCCCATCCTTGCCACCCAGTGCCTTTTGCTTGACCATTCCCCTATTCCTGCTCCCACTCCCCCTCGTCCTCTCCCATTCCCCCCTCCCCCCCTCTCCCCTTCACTACCTCCCCCCTCCCCTCCTCTCCCCCACAGGCAGTGCCGCGCGGCTGCTCTCCTGCAGTGCGTCACGCAGCTAAGCGGCAGCGCAGCAGCGTTGGGACCCGATGAGGTGGCTGCGTTGTCCTGGGAGGAGCGAGATCCCCTCTTGAAGCTATGGGTGCATAATGTGGGTTTTGAGTTTTCAGACGTCTCAAAACCCATAATGTGGGTTCTGAGGCTCGTTCTGTGGTGCCTCAAAGACAATGGGCAGCTTGCGGTAACGCTGGGTTTTGAGGCTTGCTTGACACCTTTTGAGGCGCCTCAAAAGGTGCCTCGAAGGCAATGGGCAGCTTGCCGTAACGCTGGGTTTTGAGGCTCGCTTGGCTAGTGCACTCGCTCTAATCATCGCGCTTTCTCCAATTTCCGATACATAACATACATTCGTTCATACATACATGCATGCACACATACATACATACATGCATGCACACATACATACATACGTACATACATACATACATACATACATACATACATACATACATACATACATACATACATACATACATATACATATTTACATAAGAAAAATAATAATTACCTTTGTCATTTGGCACCAAGAAGGCGGAAACAATTACCTCCTGTTGCCTGCATGTGGTAGATTTAGAAACTACCTTCCCCATCTGGCTCACTGATTTTGAGTCGACTCAAATACTACCCTCCCCATCTGGCTCACCTTGTCGTCCTGACAGGTGCTGGTTCTGGTTGGTCCAGAGGCAGAGCTGTTCCGGGCCATTATTGGGCAGAATCAACCGTCGTCCAACAACGCTCGACCGAGGTGCCTTGCAGGCATGGTGCTGCCCTCTCTGACTTTTGGCGTGGTGCTTCTTCTTTTGCCCGCAGGTGCTGCTTTTGGTTGGTCCAGAGACAGAGCTGTTCCGAGGCATCATCGGCCTGAATAAAGAGACAGAACCGTCGTCCAACAACGCTCGAGCGAGGTGCCTTGCAGGCGTGGTGCTGCCCTCGCTGACGCTGCTGCACTCCTCTGCCTGCGTGGTAGTGGGGTTGTGTTGGGAACCGCAGCACCTCTTCCCGCTGCTGCATGTGGTGCAGGCTCTGCTGACGCTGAGACCAACGGTGAGAGGGTGGATGGGGGTGGATTGGGGTGGAGGGGAAGGGTGGTGGGAACCATAATACCCTAGCGGGTTTGTGTTGGGAACTGCAGCACCTCTTCCCGCTGCTGCATGTGGTGCAGGCACTGCTGACGCTGCAACCAGCGGTGAGTGGGGGTAGGGGAGGGTGGGCGGGTGGGTGGAGTGGTGGGTGGGTGGGTGGATGGTTGGGTGTGTGGATGGGTGGGTAGCTTCCATACCTCACTATACCTCGCTGTTCCGCACCATAACACACCATACCGCACCATACCTCACGATACCTCACGATACCCCACCATACCTCACCATACTCCATCATACCCCACCATACCTCACCAATTGTCGTATTTCCTGTTTGACATGTAACGCGGCAGAGTCAGGGCAAGAGGTGTGGCGCCTCTTCCTCCTCATCTGCTCCTCCCAACCTCTCTATACCTCCATACCTCACCACACCTCACCACACCTCACCATACCTCACCATACCTCACCATACCTCACCATACCCAATGTTGTATTTCCCTTTAGGCAGGTAGAGAAGCAGTTCCCAGGGAGGGCAGGGCAAGAGGTGCGACGCCACTTCCTCCTCATCTGCTCCTCCCAACCTCACCATACCTCACTGCTAAGTTCTGAACGCCACTTCCTCCTCATCTGCTCTTCCCTGTGTTATTCCTTCAGCCATGTGGACTGGGTGAGCTGCAGTCGGGAAGTCACCTTTAGCAAAAGAAAGACAGTAGTGCTAATCTGTATGTTGTACCCTGCTAAGTTCCGAACGCCACTTCCTCCTCATCTGCTCTTCCCTGTGTTATTCCTTCAGCCATGTGGACTGGGTGAGCTGCAGTCGGGAAGTCACCTTTAGCAAAAGAAAGACAGTAGTGCTAATCTGTATGTTGTACCCTGCTAAGTTCCGAACGCCACTTCCTCCTCATCTGCTCCTCCCTGTGTCATCCCTTCCTCTTGTTGCCAAAAGTTGCACCCTCTCGCCCACCCACACCCCTTTCCATGGCAGGTAGAAAAGCAATTCCCAGGGAGGGCAAGGTAAGAGGTGCGGCGCCTCTTCCTCCTCATCTGCTCCTCCCCCCATTCCCACTACCCCTTTCCTTGACAGGTAGAAAAGCAATTTCCGGGGGAGGCAGGACAGGAGGTGCGGCGTCTCTTTCTCCTCATCTGCTCCTCCCTCTGCGCCGCCGTGCGTCGGACCATCTCTGACTTCCAACTCAGAGTGCATTTCAACCCCACACAACCCCTCACCACCCCTTCCTCCCCAGCACGACAACCCCGCAACCACCCCTCCTCCCCCACCCGCTCCTCTTCCTCCTCCTCCACCTCCCTCATCCCCCCCCCTCCTCTGTTTGATCTCTCTCCAACGCGGGAAATCCGGGATGCTCTGAGTGCTCTTAAAGCCAGTCCGGATGTGCTTCCTCTCACCAGCTACCTGGTCAACTTCGTCATTCTTTGCTTGGACCCGTGAGTGCCTGAATGCCCGAGTGCCTGAGTTCCTGAGCGCCTGAGTTCCTGAGTTTCTGGAATGTAAGGTGAGCTTCGCAAGAGGGCTGTGAAATGCTTCCTCTCACCACCCACCTGTTCCTCTCACCACCCACCTGTTCCTCTCACCACCCACCTGTTCCTCTCACCACCCACCTGTTCCTCTCACCACCCACCTGTTCCTCTCACCACCCACCTGTTCCTCTCACCACCCACCTGTTCCTCTCACCACCCACCTGTTCCTCTCACCACCCACCTGTTCCTCTCACCACCCACCTGTTCCTCTCACCACCCACCTGTTCCTCTCACCACCCACCTGTTCCTCTCACCACCCACCTGTTCCTCTCACCACCCACCTGTTCCTCTCACCACCCACCTGTTCCTCTCACCACCCACCTGTTCCTCTCACCACCCACCTGTTCCTCTCACCACCCACCTGTTCCTCTCACCACCCACCTGTTCCTCTCACCACCCACCTGTTCCTCTCACCACCCACCTGTTCCTCTCACCACCCACCTGTTCCTCTCACCACCCACCTGTTCCTCTCACCACCCACCTGTTCCTCTCACCACCCACCTGTTCCTCTCACCACCCACCTGTTCCTCTCACCACCCACCTGTTCCTCTCACCACCCACCTGTTCCTCTCACCACCCACCTGTTCCTCTCACCACCCACCTGTTCCTCTCACCACCCACCTGTTCCTCTCACCACCCACCTGTTCCTCTCACCACCCACCTGTTCCTCTCACCACCCACCTGTTCCTCTCACCACCCACCTGTTCCTCTCACCACCCACCTGTTCCTCTCACCACCCACCTGTTCCTCTCACCACCCACCTGTTCCTCTCACCACCCACCTGTTCCTCTCACCACCCACCTGTTCCTCTCACCACCCACCTGTTCCTCTCACCACCCACCTGTTCCTCTCACCACCCACCTGTTCCTCTCACCACCCACCTGTTCCTCTCACCACCCACCTGTTCCTCTCACCACCCACCTGTTCCTCTCACCACCCACCTGTTCCTCTCACCACCCACCTGTTCCTCTCACCAACCCACCTGTTCCTCTCACCACCCACCTTTCCTCTCACCACCACCTGTTCCTCTCACCACCCACCTGTTCCTCTCACCACCCACCTGTTCCTCTCACCACCCACCTGTTCCTCTCACCACCCACCTGTTCCTCTCACCACCCACCTGTTCCTCTCACCACCCACCTGTTCCTCTCACCACCCACCTGTTCCTCTCACCACCTTCCTCACCCACCTGTTCCTCTCACCACCCACCTGTTCCTCTCACCACCCACCTGTTCCTCTCACCACCCACCTGTTCCTCTCACCACCCACCTGTTCCTCTCACCACCCACCTGTTCCCTCTCACCACCCACCTGTTCCTCTCACCACCCACCTGTTCCCTCTCACCACCCACCTGTTTCCTCTCACCACCCACCTGTTCCTCTCACCACCCACCTGTTCCTCTCACCACCCACCTGTTCCTCTCACCACCCACCTGTTCCTCTCACCACCCACCTGTTCCTCTCACCACCCACCTGTTCCTCTCACCACCCACCTGTTCCTCTCACCACCCACCTGTTCCTCTCACCACCCACCTGTTCCTCTCACCACCCACCTGTTCCTCTCACCACCCACCTGTTCCTCTCACCACCCACCTGTTCCTCTCACCACCCACCTGTTCCTCTCACCACCCACCTGTTCCTCTCACCACCCACCTGTTCCTCTCACCACCCACCTGTTCCTCTCACCACCCACCTGTTCCTCTCACCACCCACCTGTTCCTCTCACCACCCACCTGTTCCTCTCACCACCCACCTGTTCCTCTCACCACCCACCTGTTCCTCTCACCACCCACCTGTTCCTCTCACCACCCACCTGTTCCTCTCACCACCCACCTGTTCCTCTCACCACCCACCTGTTCCTCTCACCACCCACCTGTTCCTCTCACCACCCACCTGTTCCTCTCACCACCCACCTGTTCCTCTCACCACCCACCTGTTCCTCTCACCACCCACCTGTTCCTCTCACCACCCACCTGTTCCTCTCACCACCCACCTGTTCCTCTCACCACCCACCTGTTCCTCTCACCACCCACCTGTTCCTCTCACCACCCACCTGTTCCTCTCACCACCCACCTGTTCCTCTCACCACCCACCTGTTCCTCTCACCACCCACCTGTTCCTCTCACCACCCACCTGTTCCTCTCACCACCCACCTGTTCCTCTCACCACCCACCTGTTCCTCTCACCACCCACCTGTTCCTCTCACCACCCACCTGTTCCTCTCACCACCCACCTGTTCCTCTCACCACCCACCTGTTCCTCTCACCACCCACCTGTTCCTCTCACCACCCACCTGTTCCTCTCACCACCCACCTGTTCCTCTCACCACCCACCTGTTCCTCTCACCACCCACCTGTTCCTCTCACCACCCACCTGTTCCTCTCACCACCCACCTGTTCCTCTCACCACCCACCTGTTCCTCTCACCACCCACCTGTTCCTCTCACCACCCACCTGTTCCTCTCACCACCCACCTGTTCCTCTCACCACCCACCCTGTTCCTCTCACCACCCACCTGTTCCTCTCACCACCCACCTGTTCCTCTCACCACCCACCTGTTCCTCTCACCACCCACCTGTTCTCTCACCACCCACCTGTTCCTCTCACCACCCACCTGTTCCTCTCACCACCCACCTGTTCCTCTCACCACCCACCTGTTCCTCTCACCACCCACCTGTTCCTCTCACCACCCACCTGTTCCTCTCACCACCCACCTGTTCCTCTCACCACCCACCTGTTCCTCTCACCACCCACCTGTTCCTCTCACCACCCACCTGTTCCTCTCACCACCCACCTGTTCCTCTCACCACCCACCTGTTCCTCTCACCACCCACCTGTTCCTCTCACCACCCACCTGTTCCTCTCACCACCCACCTGTTCCTCTCACCACCCACCTGTTCCTCTCACCACCCACCTGTTTCCTCTCTCACCACCCACCTGTTCCTCTCACCACCCACCTGTTCCTCTCACCACCCACCTGTTCCTCTCACCACCCACCTGTTCCTCTCACCACCCACCTGTTCCTCTCACCACCCACCTGTTCCTCTCACCACCCACCTGTTCCTCTCACCACCCACCTGTTCCTCTCACCACCCACCTGTTCCTCTCACCACCCACCTGTTCCTCTCACCACCCACCTGTTCCTCTCACCACCCACCTGTTCCTCTCACCACCCACCTGTTCCTCTCACCACCCACCTGTTCCTCTCACCACCCACCTGTTCCTCTCACCACCCACCTGTTCCTCTCACCACCCACCTGTTCCTCTCACCACCCACCTGTTCCTCTCACCACCCACCTGTTCCTCTCACCACCCACCTGTTCCTCTCACCACCCACCTGTTCCTCTCACCACCCACCTGTTCCTCTCACCACCCACCTGTTCCTCTCACCACCCACCTGTTCCTCTCACCACCCACCTGTTCCTCTCACCACCCACCTGTTCCTCTCACCACCCACCTGTTCCTCTCACCACCCACCTGTTCCTCTCACCACCCACCTGTTCCTCTCACCACCCACCTGTTCCTCTCACCACCCACCTGTTCCTCTCACCACCCACCTGTTCCTCTCACCACCCACCTGTTCCTCTCACCACCCACCTGTTCCTCTCACCACCCACCTGTTCCTCTCACCACCCACCTGTTCCTCTCACCACCCACCTGTTCCTCTCACCACCCACCTGTTCCTCTCACCACCCACCTGTTCCTCTCACCACCCACCTGTTCCTCTCACCACCCACCTGTTCCTCTCACCACCCACCTGTTCCTCTCACCACCCACCTGTTCCTCTCACCACCCACCTGTTCCTCTCACCACCCACCTGTTCCTCTCACCACCCACCTGTTCCTCTCACCACCCACCTGTTCCTCTCACCACCCACCTGTTCCTCTCACCACCCACCTGTTCCTCTCACCACCCACCTGTTCCTCTCACCACCCACCTGTTCCTCTCACCACCCACCTGTTCCTCTCACCACCCACCTGTTCCTCTCACCACCCACCTGTTCCTCTCACCACCCACCTGTTCCTCTCACCACCCACCTGTTCCTCTCACCACCCACCTGTTCCTCTCACCACCCACCTGTTCCTCTCACCACCCACCTGTTCCTCTCACCACCCACCTGTTCCTCTCACCACCCACCTGTTCCTCTCACCACCCACCTGTTCCTCTCACCACCCACCTGTTCCTCTCACCACCCACCTGTTCCTCTCACCACCCACCTGTTCCTCTCACCACCCACCTGTTCCTCTCACCACCCACCTGTTCCTCTCACCACCCACCTGTTCCTCTCACCACCCACCTGTTCCTCTCACCACCCACCTGTTCCTCTCACCACCCACCTGTTCCTCTCACCACCCACCTGTTCCTCTCACCACCCACCTGTTCCTCTCACCACCCACCTGTTCCTCTCACCACCCACCTGTTCCTCTCACCACCCACCTGTTCCTCTCACCACCCACCTGTTCCTCTCACCACCCACCTGTTCCTCTCACCACCCACCTGTTTCCTCTCACCACCCACCTGTTCCTCTCACCACCCACCTGTTCCTCTCACCACCCACCTGTTCCTCTCACCACCCACCTGTTCCTCTCACCACCCACCTGTTCCTCTCACCACCCACCTGTTCCTCTCACCACCCACCTGTTCCTCTCACCACCCACCTGTTCCTCTCACCACCCACCTGTTCCTCTCACCACCCACCTGTTCCTCTCACCACCCACCTGTTCCTCTCACCACCCACCTGTTCCTCTCACCACCCACCTGTTCCTCTCACCACCCACCTGTTCCTCTCACCACCCACCTGTTCCTCTCACCACCCACCTGTTCCTCTCACCGACCCACCCACCTGTTCCTCTCACCACCCACCTGTTCCTCTCACCACCCACCTGTTCCTCTCACCACCCACCTGTTC